ATCAACTGTGATAATTTAAAACTTTAATTAAAGACTGGGTGACAGATTATCTACAAAACGTCTTCCTGCTGCCCAGTATTTCATCACGAATGTCTCCAGAAACCCACGCTCCCGTGAGTAAGCGCACTCGCCAGGAAGTATTTCATCGTGGACACGTTAGCTTTTATCTGCCTTGTTGGGTAACAAATCCTTTTGTTGAGGATTAGCGGCAACAAAAATTAAATTAAAAGCAAAACCAGACCCCAAACCAGAAATTTATAATGCTTATTCTGTTCATCCCTCAAGAAAATGAAAATGCCAAGGCAAAGTCTATTTTAGCAATTGCGTTAATGTATGTGTAAATGGGTGAAGGCGCCTTTGAAATGCTCTGAAAAGAATTTCACACTTTAGAGAGGAGAAGTTAACAATTCTATTGTGGCATTTATTGGGATTCTTAAATTAATTTCCCCGACACAGCTGTGCCATAAAATCCCCCATCATGATGAATTTTTTGCTAATGTCGAGATTATTTCTGGAGACAATTTTGAAGGAGCAACTTTGTAAAACCAGGAGAACACGGGGACCCTGCACTGCCCTTTCCTTGCCTCTGCTCACCTCCAGCCTTTCCCTGAGCAGCTGTGAGGCTGCTGATTTGGAATTGTGCCTGTTTTTATTTCCACAGAGCAGCAAACGGGACAGATGCACCAGTGGAGTGAAGCTGAGCCCCCTCAGAGCACTGGGCAAAGATCAGCACGTCCCTAACTCAGCGTGGCGTTGGAGGAAGGACCTCCAAGGCCACCTGGAGGACTCCCTTCTGGAGCACGTCTACTCTCCCCCTGCCCCAGAAAGGGCACATCAGGAGTTGGTGGGTTTGGCCCTGAAGAAAGAGAACTGGGGAAAGCGAAAGGCAATGAATGTCTCCCTTTGCACACAGCAGAAGGTGAGAGTCGTTCCAAGTTGTCAAGAGGAACTCATTTAATCTGGAGACCAAATTAAACCAGATTAAGAGATGTGAGTGATGACACACCGGGGATCCCCCCCTCCCTCCCCATTCCTGCATCCTTGCCAGACCACGTCCAAAGGGTTGAAGGAAACATAAAGAGCAACCCCCAGCGATGCCTAGGGAAGGGCTTTGAAGACCACACGCCCCACTAATAACGAGACTCGGCCCGTAGCAGTAGATGGATTGACAAGCAGAGGTTGGGAAATGAAGAGTTCATGGTCAGGTGAGAAGACCCCGGGGTGGTACAAGTAACACTAACACTACACAGGCATGTCTCCAGTCCTGGACACAGGAGGATGAGGAGACCTCGTGGGGGGATTTTTGCTTGGAAAAGCTTCAGCGTAAGCAGAGTGGCTGGATGTTCTCACTGAACTGCAGGAGAACCTGGGGGCAGGAGGGATAGCACAGACGGTGGCAGCCATGAGCTTGATTTTAACAGTGATAGGCAAGTTTTAGACCCCGCAGAGGAGAGAGTTAACAACAGCTGACACACTTTTGTCTGGAGAAGTCACAATGACTAGAAATAACAACTTGGGGCCATAATTCCGGCGGTCTGTCACTACCAGGAAACGTGAAATCCAGTGACCTTTCATCTCCACGACAGAAATGCTGCACAGCACCTGGAGCCATCGCCCTTAAAATCCACTCTGACAAATCGGATGCTGGGACACGAGGGATAAAATGCCTTCTCCCTCCCAAAATGCAGCCTCCCAGTGAGCTCCGCCTGCTCCACATGTATTATGGTACCCCTTGCCCGGCAGAGCCAGCTCTGCACCAGCTACACCGCGTTCAGCGAAGCCCGAGATAGCAATTCTATTTCTTTTGACAATAAGGAATAAATCTCCAAAGCCACTTGTTCAGACTGCTCTTAAATGATGGTAGAGGGAGGGAAATTGATATTGGCTTTTTATGAATCTTCAGGTCAGGTATGTTAGAATCAACAGATTTTTTGCATTAACCTCGCTGCTTCAAAGCACTTTTGCCCTTGGCAAGACGTAATTAAGAAAGGCATGAAAATCTATCTGAATGTATGGAGAGGAAATCATTCTCCCGTTAATGGCAGCAACAGCTAAACAAGCAGGCAAGCCACATCGCTAGCAGAGCGCAGCAAACGATGCAGGGCTGCGTTTTAACCCCAAACAAGGATTTTCCTTACCAAAAAATTTCAAGGAGCAGTTTTCAAAATGAGGATTTGCACTACGTGTTGTCCTGGGGATTAACACTGCCTCCCCTTTCCCCCCCAAAAAAGCTGTATCACTTCAGCTCTTCTGACTGGCAGTCTAAAATGATGACCACAGGGACTGAGACTAAGCTAAATTTTTTTCATCACACCAAGACACAGCACTGTAACTATCTTCACCACTTCGGTAGAAAGCAAAAGCTACTGGATGGAAGGAAAAAAACAAATAAATTAAAAAAAAAAGGGGGGGGGGGTGTTCAGTCATTTAAGTAGGTCTGTCAGTTTGTGTTATCTTCATGCATTTGTGAAACTGAGCTCTAATTGACTGGCTGCAGTGGAGAGCCCACAGATAAAATCTTGGTCTCGAGATGAACAGACAGCTTAGAGCGTTGCCATCCTCATTCATTAGGATGTGCCAGAGGGATTCGGAGGGGGAAGAGACAGAGCAACGTCTGCAACTCTTTCACATGAAGTCCCCAAAAATCTAAGAGGGACGTGAAGGCGCCACACTTGGAGCCACGTCCAAGAGCAATAACAACATCTGCTCATCACATTCTCTGTGACAGCAGAGACTGTCTTGGTGCCTACTATGATTCTGTGCCTTATTCCTATTGCTTTGTGAACGATTTCATTTCATTTGTGAAGGATAAAGTCAAAATTACAGGGATTTGGCCAGCCATTAGCCAGTCAGCACTGGCTGCAGCAGGAGGAGCAGAAAGCCCTGCCAGTTTGAGGCGGGGGGGTCCCACATCTCATCCTACAGCCAGGCTGGGATGCCAAAAGGGGTTCAGCTCCCCTCCACAGTATTCCCCATGCAGATATGCTCCTCAGTCCCAAGGAACAGCCATGCCACCACGCTACCTCTTCCCTTCATCCACCACTGGCTCAAAGCTGCTCTGTAAGCCCTGGTCTCCCTGATCTCCAGAGACCAGGAGCCCCAGTGTGCCTAGGCTGATCTTAAGAAATACTCCTTTGCCTAAAACAGGTTTGAGAGAACTCTGGATCTCCAACAGATGATTGAAGAGAGAAGTGGAGAAATTTGGCAAAACCACGGAGCAAGCCTCCCGGCTTCTATTTGAGGATCCAATCACTATACTGTGCCCTGGAGCCCCTTCAGCAGGAGGCTGATGGTCCTTCTTCCTCCTGTCCTTGTGCCCACCAGTAGTAGTTGCTACTTTCCCTCTTCTCCTGGCTCTCTGGGCACCCTGCCTGTTTCTGGAAGGAAGATGCTGCCCACTCCTGGTCACAAGGGATGTTTGGGACTGCAACACAGAACGCCACCAAGTGGGGTAGTGTGGTTACTGGGGCAACTGGTCATGGTGGTGAAGGGTTGGTGGGGAAATCCAGCAGCTCCTGGACCTGTGTGAAGCCACCTTTGAGTCAGTGCTCCCGGGAAGCCTGAGCGATGCTCACAGTTTGGGTTCCTGTGATGTGAACCAGATGGGAAGGAACAGCAAGTGCTGCCACCATGACAGAGGGTGGTACCCTACGCGCCATGTGAACACAGAGGTCAAACAGGCACCAGCAGCGTTCATTCAGGTGTAAATGAGTCAGAGCTACATGACAGGCATGACGATGGCCGATGGCCACCGTTACCCCTCCCAGTCAACAACCCAAGACATCAATCCTGCTGAGCGTGATGGGAAACCTCATACCCAAGGGCAGTGGTGGATAGAGCTGGTTAACATACCTTTTCTCTGAAGATCACCATCAACAACGACAACAAAATAATGATGTTTCCTATGAACATTTTCTGCTTTTCAACAGGAACATAAAACTCTAAATAAAAACCCCGTAAAATATTTTTTGAGTAAAAATTAAGGCTTACTGTAAACCCCAGGATCTCAAGTAGTATTTTTGGTATAATTTTCCAGATTGGTCTTCCTTTTGCCAATTCCTTTAGTAAAAATATTTTGCATTTCCAACTGTTTGCTTTTTCTCTGTCTTAAAGAGCAGAAAATGTGTTGAAAATGTTATTTCTTTGTAAACATTTTCACTTAGATCCAAAAGCAACCAGTACTCTTATCCAGCAGCACGGAATGTATGTAAAAGGAAATATATATGGGTAACGAATTTGACACTCAAGAAGATGAGTCTAAGCAGCCATTTCTTATATGTTAAGAAAGCCATGAAGAGGTTTATGTGAAGCTAGCTCAACTCTTAATCTGTCTTCATTCATGTCTACTTTAGGAGAAAGGTGTTTTGCCAGAGACATATGCATGTACGGGTTGTGGTACAAGACTGGGGAGACCTTCTTGGAAACAGATTTATTTTCCAAAGAGGTACTTTCAGTCATCCCAAAACCTTTCTTGAAAGCATTGCTGAACCCAACTCCAATCCATGAAATCGTTTCAGCAATGAGGGCCGACGCTACACACCCAGACTCCAGCACACAACCTACAACGTTACAGGCTTGGTGGGTGTCTCACTGGCCCCAGGGAAGTTTTGCCATTGATTTCAGTGAGTTTTCCCCTGGTTTTAGATAAAAACCGTTGGCTTCTTAATTTAGGGACAAAGACTCTCTCTTTTCTTGATTCATGTTAGACTAATTATGAGAAAAAAAAGCAAAGACATGAAACGACTATCACTGCTATCAGCACTCAGCCCTATAAAGCCTTACTCAAGTCAACAATCCCATCATCTCCATGTAAAGACACAGGCCAGGAAGGGCAGCCTTAATTTTCACAGTTGCCACCTCACAACTGAAGCTCACACGCAAGGAGAAGCAAGAGCCCCAACTCCAGCCTGTGTCGATGGAAGCAAACCTCCTGGTGATGCATCAGTAACAACATTTTAATAAAATGGCTCTTTATTAAAGCCAATACAGTACTTTCTTACCATTTTTGCAGACCGGGCAACACTGTTCTGGTTCATAGACTGGGTTGACACACTCGGGAACTGCGCAGTCTGCTACAACACAGTGAACTTCATTGCTGGGCTCGCAGCGACACCATTCGCATGGCGAGGGCTAGGAACAAATCTCAAATTAGCCCATTTCCTCCCGCAGCTCACAAGTTTGCAACATTTCTATCTTGCCATAAGATAAACACATCAGCGTTCAATACCTCTTGACTGCATTCATTCATCATGGGTAACACAAATTAACCTATAGGACAAAATAGCAACATCTGAAACAGGCAACCAGAACATTAGAAAAACCAATGAGCATGATACTTGTTTTCCCAGAGGGGATGTGGGTTTGGGGTTTTTTTTTGAGCTTTCACAAGACTTTAGGTCCCTTTGTCAAAAAGACCGAGCTGAAGCCACTAGGTTGTCCCTCTGCCCTGGTGTGATCTTACACATTTGCCCGGGAGCAGAGCAGGATTTTTGGAAGATCACAAGTGGTGGTTCATACTAGGAAGGGAGGACAGGGTGACTTTCCTATCTTTCCTATCTTTCTTATCTCATGTAGATCACCACTGCCAGCAAACCCCAATCTGTCAGAAAGGTGCTGCTGGGGTGGACTCTCCATTCACCAGCCTCTCTAATTCTTGCTTTTCAGAGTGGAGGAGAACAGTGTTGCCTTTGGAGGGGCAAAACCATTTAATTCTGTGTTTTTTGCAGCAGCTGCATCAGAGGTCTGTAAGCACTCCCAGAATATAATCATTAGACCCGGCCCTGGCTCCACTCTCGCCTTTTTCAACAAGGTTTGTCAGCAACCACCTCACACAGAATATGTAAATAATTAAGAGCCTGAATAATTCTGCTGAAGTCAGGGAGTTCTGGATTAAAGCACCCAGCTAAAAGGTTTTGCTTCAGCTCCATCAATTCTAGCAGGAATCCCTATCCACCTCCGAATAACAGAGTTGTCACTGTCTCACGCTTTAAAAAGCTATGGAAATCTGCTGAAAAATAGAAAGGTCAGTACTTTAAGGTTCCCAGTGTCCTTATGTGTGTGCAAGTGTGATGAAAGGATGACAACAGAGCTAAGAAAGGAGTATAAGAGGAGAATTTGAAAGGAAAATAACTTCCTTTCAGTACCTGTAGATTCAATATATGAATCCTAGGCAATCCTGCTTCAGCAGGGGAGTTGGACTAGATGATCTCTATGGTCCCTTCCAACTCTAGAAATTCAGTGAAATTCAGTGAAAAATTCAGTGAATCCCGATTCCTCAGCAACAGTAGATCCATCAGTATCACTTGAACAAGGTAAATGTGGAAAAAAATCTGCTTTCTGTTGCATTGATAGGAATCTGCAGCAATGGGAATTCCTTCATATTAAAAAATAAAAAAGTGAGATGCAAAGGAAAGGAGGATTCATCCCCATGTGTTTCAGACCCCGGTGATGATGGGTCACTCATTTCTACAAGACAGATGCAACCTGTGGAGCCCTGGTTCTGGCAGGTAATAAGCTTTTCAGTTCACCTCTCAGAAGCTCCGTATGTCTTGAGTCAAATAATTTATTCTCAGGAAATTCATTTCTACCTTAGAATGCACTAATTAAAGCTTCCCTTGCTTTGTCTCAGCGTCTGCAGTCTATAATTCCCATCACCTCTCATTTGCTCATGGCTTTGGCAATTTAGATAAAATCAGCACTCCTTGAGCAAGGGAAGAAGTCTGTGGAGGTGGAATTCCTCTCTCTAATTATCTTTCCTCATTCAATCCCGCTTTGATTTCTGTCTGAAGCACCAGGAATCTAAATTCACTTGACTGACATTTCTTATTCAAGGCTATTTAATAAGAGGAAACAATACAGAAGAAAATAGACAGAACTATTTGCCGAGGGATCAATAAGAAAATTGCTGCTTTGTTTTTACTCATTTTAATCACTAATTATATGGAGCAGTAGAACTAGATCTTGTGATTTGTGGAGGCTTTCACCAACGTATCCTTCAGGACTTGGCCCCACCTTCACCACTAGAATGGCTGCAAGGCTAAGAAGGACATGATGCGTTTCCAAGACTGCAGCTTAAAGATGATCAGCGCAAGTAGAAGATGCCCCCGAACGACTCTGCAACTGAGTAAATGAGACATGACATACACATCTTTTGCTTCTGCGTTGCTGGCGTAACCTGAAAATGACACTGTAATAAACCCACGATGTTGCCCGACGCTGAAAGCAGCTTTTCAAGAGGGAAGAACTGCACGCCGTTAGAGAAGGAAAGGGCACCTCGGCGGTACAAGGAACGAGCAGCCAGCAAACAAAAAAGGTCACTTTAGCATGAATGACAAGGCTTGTCTCAGCCACCTCCTCTTCCCCAACTTATCCAAGTCAAGCTACTTGGTCTTGACTCCAGGTTCTTCCTCTCTCTGACCACTTTGCTCACTTGCCAGTGCCCCTTACCATGGATCCTACCCAGCTGCTCACCTCCCCAGGTGACTCCAATCTTCCTGTCCACTTAGTTTATGAACATCTCGGCACTTTCTCCTGTGGGATGTGCCGTGGGATCGGATCTGCCCTTTCAGAAAGGACTTTGCCCAAAGCACCCTGGTTGAGGATCTTTTTCCTGTTGTCTGTGAGCTCTGCATCCCAGCTATTAATTTCCCCTGAGCTACCCTTCCTGTGGAACAATTCCAGGACATTGGCCAAAAAAGTCCTCTGCTTCTTTACATAGGTAGTAAATAGACAAAGTGACAAAATGACAAACTGGGAACCACTAAAGAACAGTGAACCAGTGAAAGATGTCCCAAAGTTTTGTTTCCTGATTTAAAGATTTATCCCCTGTGGAAGAGGGGCAGTTTCCACTTTTGTAGCCACTCAAGTTCAGACAGCAGCTAACACCAGTTCCTGAAAAGAAACTCTCATCCCTACCGAAAAACAGGGTTGAAAAAACACAGAGGGTTTCTGAAGTCTGAAGGAGAGAGGACACAAATCAGAAGCTACGCCATTCCCACGCGGACAGTGCAAACGCTTTATTGGTGCCCCTTAAACTGATATTCTGGAAAAAGTGTTAAGATTAAAGGATCATAAAAGGCTTGAGCCAGAAGACGATTTATTCACTCCACCTGTCCAAGGCAGAATAATCTCTTAAAATACTCTCTAGGGAAGGATTTGTTAGAAAGGATTTCAAGAGATGTGCGCGCAGAAATGTTTTTCTCTCCATTGTCCAAAATGAAAGGATGTTCACAGCCATAACACAGATACACACCCGCACAACTGGACCCTTACTGTTCAAGGCATGTTTTAACAAATGGGCCTATTATTAAAACCAGAGGAGTGAACGGGGTCCTTTTGTAGAAGGTATCAAGACAGCCTTTTGACTTGGGAAAACTGGTGCAAAGTACCTGAAATTCTTTTTACCCATTTTTCACTCACAAGGGTGAGAGCATTAACCCTCAGAAATAGCGAGGATATTCACTCTTTGATGCTGTCAGTGTAGGGGCCAAGTTAAGCCAAGTTGGTGGGAAGCAGATGTGGCCAACATCTAACCACCATTCAGGGGTTTTTGAGGGCAGATGAAGCAGGACACAGAGCACAAAGGACCTGGTCAGCCTCATCAATGACCCTGATTCACTTCTCCTTTGGCCAGTCACTTCTAAGAGACCAAAGAAACATCAGGACATGGACCCTGAACACCCCTGTTTATAACCACATCTAAGATCATGGCTCAACTTCTATTTCTCTTCTGTTCTGTTGTTCTCAAGGGGGACTGAGACCCCAGGCTTGGCTGGGAGGGCAGGTTCATTCCCTGCTTCTATCAGGGGATGGCCCCATCCCACAAAGCGGGGTGGCAGGAGGAAGGAGCCAGCATTCCTTTGGCTGCATGGCTGGAAAACCTTAGTCTCAGGTGCTCTCAAATGGGAGACATCTGCAATCAGCAGAGTTTGTTAACAAAGAGAGAAGGAAAGAAAATTAAAACAGAGAATAGAGAATACGCATGGCTAATAAAGATTTTATGTGCATGAGCACATAATGATAAATTTGATAGATGATATAAACAAACAAACGAAAAAGGCAGCGAAGGAAACAGAATGAGAAACAAGATACACCCTGAGCAAGGGAAATCAGACAAGGGGTGGATACTGTGTCCCCTAACCTTCACTCTCGATCCCATGCACATTAGCTCCCCACCATTTTCACATGATCAAACACTTCTTGAGGAAAATAGCCTCAAATGCTAATTCTTTCCAAACTTAAGGTAGAGGTGGAGAAAAGAAATTGAAAACCGAAATCAAAAGTCGGTGCCTAAATCTACTCTTTTATGCCCTTCTACAGCCAAAGAGATCTGAATCAAGTATTTTTTTTAACCAGGGTAGCTGGTTCAGTCACACAAATAACCAATACACAAAATTTCAAGTTTTTAGGCAAGATCTTGTAAGATCTTGCATTAATGCATCTAAGACATCTCATTAAAGCATAGAAATTCTCTTGTCCCAAAAACTCATTGAACTTCACCTACTTGTCCACAACTGCAGCACCCTAAGCAGCCTCTCTGCTGTCCCAAACGTGAAAGATTTTTCTGTAATATGTGGATTGCCCTCCAAAAGCTCATTACTGAATAATAAGTACTCTTCTTGAGTGAAGGGAGGAAGCATATATATATATATATGAAACATTATACTGCAACCCTCCTCTTCCCTGCCTCCAACAAGGATTCTCTGTCTACACATCTGCTTGTCAATCAGTCTCAGCTGCTTGTAGGTGAACACCTCTGGAGAGGTGGGAGTGATTTACCTAAGACAAATGAAAAACTTTGAAGATGACATCTGATTGATACTTTCTCTTTACCTCTTTGATCTGTCAATCAGAAGCAATTTCTCTCAGGTTTTGCTCTGCCATCACGTTCACCAAGCTACCTGTGGTTTCCAAGAGTTCCATATCAGTCCTATATGAAGGCTACTGCCCAGCTCAGAGGAGATATCAGACCAAGTTTTAAGGCCCCAGCCTCCTGTGATCAGCTGAGATTAATCCAGCTGGCTTCACTCAGACTTGGGGGGGGGTTGCAATTCATTCCCCTCCAGGAGCTGGGAAAACAGAGCCCGTTTTCCAAGCAGCCTTCTGAGAGCAAAGTGTTATTTGGCACCTAA